GGCTAAAAGACAAGAAAGAAAGCCGTAAGGGAAGCACGAGGGAAAGTGAACAAAGAGTTGTATGAAAAGTTGGACTCTAAGGAAGGAGAACTAGATATTTATAGACTTGCTCGTCTTCGTGATCGCAGAACTCAAGATATTGCAAAAGTTAAGTGTGTGAAGGATGTTGATCAGAGGATATTAATGGACGACGGAGAGATAAAAGAGAGGTGGAGGTCATACTTTGATACACTATTCAACGGGAACAAAACGCAAGATATCGGCGATTTGTCCATACCAGGTTGTATGGTAAACCGTGATTTTGTGAGAAGGATCCAAACAACGGAAGTTAAAGAAGCTCTGAGAAAGATGGGACGGAAAAGAGCAGTGGGGCCAGATGGCATACCGATCGAGGCTTGGAGAAGTTTGGGAGAGAGAGGCGTCGAGTAGTTAACAAGTTTCTTCAACATGATTTGGAGAAACAAGATGCCAACGAGTTGGAGGAAGAGTACTCTTATCCTCTTATTTAAGAATAAAGGTGATGTACAAGAATGTGTCAACTATCGAGGGAATGAGCTTATGAGTCACACCATGAAACTTTGGGAGCGAGTGATTGAGCAAAGACTTCGAAGGACTGTGAAGATTTCAGAGAATCAATTCAGTTTTATGCCTGGTCGCTCAACAACTGAGGCCATTCACCTTCTTCGGCAACTTATGGAGAAGTATAGGGATGCTCATAAGGATCTGCATTTGGTGTTCATTGACTTAGAAAAGGCATATGATAGGGTACCTCGAGAAGTTCTTTGGTGGGCCTTAACTAGGAAAGACATATCATGCAAGTATATCAGCATCATCATGGATATGTATGAGGATTGTACTACAAGTGTTCGTACTAGTGTAGGGAGGACTGAAGAGTTCCCTATTACTATCGGAGTGCACCAAGGATCATCCTTGAGTCCTTTCTTATTTGTCATAGTCATGGATGAACTTACAAAGTCAATTCAAGACGATATACCGTGGTGCATGATGTTTGACGACGATATTGTATTGATTGATGAGACGCAATCAGGTCTTAAAGCAAAGTTGGAAGTATGGCGACAAACATTGGAGAATAAGGGTTTCAAACTAAGTCGGAGCAAGACAGAGTACATGGAGTGCAAGTTTGGTGGAGGTAGAAGTAGTGGTAATAGCGGAATTACTCTGGATGGTAAGGAGATACCAGTCAGTGATATGTTCCGTTACTTAGGCTCCATAATTCAGAAGGACGGTGAGTTAGATGGAGATGTATCCCATAGAATCAAAACAGAGTGGATGAAGTGGAAGAGTGCGTCAGGATTTCTATGCGACCGAGGTATGCCGATGATAAGTCCATTTTTGTACTTATTTTTCTTATCAATTTTAAGCGATTTTGGATTGGAAAATAGAAAAACAAAGCATGTTTTATATATTTTGGTTCAAGTTTCATGAAATCAGGTAAAAATCACGTCCATGATATGTTTGACGAAATTTCGGGTCAATTAAGCACAAAATGCGTCAATTTGAGTGAAAAATGATTTCATACCGAAAGAAGCAAGCAGAATTTCAAAGTGGTCCAGAAGGGAAAGTTGAAGAGCACAAAATACAGAACAAGATGGTCAATTAAACTCAAAGGCGGCCTGGCAGGCGGCCAAAAAATGGAGGCTTGCGCGGCCGCCTGCCGTTTTTTTTTTTGAAAAATCATTTTTTTGGAAATTTGACCGAATCGGAGAAAAACGGAAGGCGGCCGACACTGGACGGAAGGCGGACGCCTTCGATGACCGCCTGCGGCACAAAACGACGAAACGAACAACCGGTCGGTGCGATGTGACGGCAGGCGGCCGGAGCAAGGCGGCAGGCGGCCGCCTGTTTGGAGGCCTGCGAGATTTTTGGTGCTATAAATAGCCCGATTTTTGCTGAACTCAAAGACACCATTCTTAGTCCGAAACTAGTTCAAAAAGGTCTTCTTCTTCCTCTTCAAAGCTCGGATTTCCACCATTGTTGCACCTTCAACTTCAATCTTTCATCTTTTTCATTTTAGCTCCAATTTGTAAGTTCTTTATATGTATTTTCATCTTCTCAACGAGTAGAATCTGAATCTGTGCTTTTTTTTTCTCAATCTGTTCTTCGAATTTTTCCAGAATATTTATCAAGTATTTCGCATTTTCTTCCAAAAATTAAATAAAATAGTTGTTGATGTTGAATTCATTCCAATTAATTATATAGTTGTTTACTAGTCTCAAGGTTGTTATTTATCTGAAGAAGGTTAATTTTTTCGAATCAGAAGTAATTTTAAATTAATTTCAAATTAATTTCAGTAATTAGTTGTTATTATTGCATAAATTAAATTAATTACTTAAAAAGAGTAAAAAAATAGTTTCGGCCCTAATTCCAGTTTATTTCACTGTAATATCACTGCCAGTAGTCAATAGAAAATTTAGAATGAATTTAGCCTATTTTTAATTGCCTTTTGTATTTTATAGTTAAAAGTGGGAAAATTATCAATTAGGGTTAAAATTGGATTTTAGATTTAAAATTTCGTAAAAAATTCCAGAAGGTCCTATTGTAGTTCCAGAAAGTTTATTTTGACAATATCTTATTTTTTTTAAATTTTTGCTATTATACATGTTTAATTCCTTGTTAATGTTTAATTTATTTACCATATTGTTGAATGCAAAAATAATGTTTAGTAGCTAAATTTGTTTTGGGCATGAATTGAGTAAAGGAATATGGATTGACTTGTTAGCTGAAAATTAGGGGTTAAAATTAATTAATTGAGCTAGTTATTAAATTTGATGAATTAGTAATTAATAATTATTAGCCAATTTCATTAATTAAATTTTGGAAAATTATTTCTAACTTGTCTATGAGATTAGAAAGTAATTTGAGCCAACTTTATTCAAGCACATTAATAAGGCCTAGAAATAGGATAATTTTAAGGAAAGGGATTTACATCTTGGCTATTTTTATTAATTAAAATTTTGGAGAATTATTTCTGCCTTGTCTATGAGATTAGAATTTAATTCAAGCCAACCATTTTTGAATACATTAATGAAACCTAGAAATAGGATAAATTAATGAAAGTAATTTCTATTCTTGTCTAGGAGAAAAGAAATTATTAGTCCAATTGTTGTTTTAATTCCCCTAATTTCTAGGTCCAAGAATATATCCATTTCTAATTATTCAATTCATTGCCCTTCTTTGATCAATCCATTTAGAGTTTAATATTTTTCATTTAGTTTAATTTTGAGCCATCATTAGTATTTGCATAATTTAATTACTTTATTTTTCAAAAACTAGTTTAGAAAATTAATCAAAAGTTTTAATTTGGAAAGCTTCCAATAATTTGCGATAACCTGTGACTGATTTTAAAATCAAGAAACTCCTTCGCCATTCCTCAAGAGACACGATACACGGGGGAAAACCGAAAGGTTAGACTCAATGGTAAATTTTATAGGACAGCAATTAGGCTTGCATTAATGTATGGCGTAGAGTGTTGGGCGGTGAAACAATGTCACATTCATAAGATGAGTGTGACAGATATGCGCATGCTGCGTTGGATGTGTGGGCATACTAGGAATGACCGCGTGAGGAATGAGACAATCAGACAAAGGGTGGGAGTAGCACCTATTGAAGATAAGATGCGGGAGTCGCACCTACGGTGGTTTGGTCATGTGCGTAGAAGACCGAGTGATGCACCTGTTAGGCGAGTTGAGATGTGTGGAGAAGAGGCAGGGAAGAGAGGGAGAGGAAGACCCAAACAGACGTGGGTTAGGGGAGTTCGAAGTGATATGCTTTTTCTGGGGTTGGATGAGGGCATGACTTTGGAGAGAACTAAGTGGAGGGCGGGTATTCACGTGAAGGAGTGATCTTGATAATCTTTTTCCCTCATCTTTTTTTTTCTTAGTTTTTTTTATCCTTATATATATATATATAAGCATTATTTGCAATCTTTTTATTTTATCATTTATATATATATTCATCTTTTTTTATATCATCTTTTCATAATAGCTTATCTTTTTATCTTTATTCCTTCTTTTCCTTTTGGTTGTGATATCATGTATCGATTCATGTTAGCCGACCCCAATATCTTTTGGGACTAAGGTTTGGATGTTGTTGTTGATTCTAGAAAACTCATTTTAAATCATACACTACCAAATATCAAACACTTTTGTCATATTTGATTGTCAATTTCAATTCTTGGGATATTATTGTGAGAATTCAACACTTGTTCATACTCTTGTAATATGACTAATATTTGATTGGAGCCCTTTTGGTAATCTTGTTTTTCGGCTTATCAGTAAATTTTTGACTAAACACGTAACTTTTGATTTCGCGCGCTAAATTAAGTAATAATAAGAAAAAGTCATATAGAAGTTACTGTTTTGCTGAATTGGCTGAAATTAATGCAGAAGATCATTTTAATAGTTTTTGATATAATTTTTTCTTTGTTTAATTAAAATATCTTTTCATAAATCAGTAAAATCAGTTAATCCAACCACTTCAGCTAAAACTTTATAAATTTCACAATTAGAAAATGCAATTGATTGAAATATTACGAAACTTTTTAGAGCCCGTTTGGTGACCCCTTTTTCGGCTTATCAGGCTTATCAGCCAGTTTTTTAACCAAACACGTCATTTTTGATTTCGCACGTTGGATTTTGTAATAAGCAGAAAAAGTAAGGTTGAAGTTACTTTTCTGGCTGTTTTGGCTGAAGTTACTGTAGAGAATCATTTTAGCTATTTTTTCATATAATTTTTTATTTAATTTATTAGTAACAAATATTTTAAATATAATTTTTTCATGAATTAGCAGAATCAGCCAATACAGCCACTTCAGGCAGAACTTCATAAATTTCAGCAGAATCAGCCAATTCAGCTAATTTTAGTGTTACCAAACGGGCTCTTAATTTAGACGAGGGAAATAAAGTGTTCTTTAAAATGTAATTGAGTTTTGGACCAGGGACGTAGAACTTCAACTTTAGTGGCCCATCGAACTATTCAGGAAAATAAACCCTTCTTCAACCCCGTCGTCGCTTCTGTAAAACACTGACAGTAATACCGATGCTGATCCAACGCTCTATACTGGTCCGAGCTCTGTACCGGCGTTGCCGTCACTTCTCACAGTCTGCCGCAGCAGTCTCAGCCCCATTAGAATATCCATCTCCGGAATCTCCAACTTTTACATACCTAGACGGGTTACCGAAACCCGACCCTAAGTACGCGGAGACCATTCATGCAATTCCGCGAGCTCTGTCCGGAAAGAACATCTCCGCCAAGGAGAGAAAAGCTGGCCGAATTCCCAGCATTGTTTTTGAGCAAGAAGATGGACAGCACGGCGGCAACAAGCGGCTCATTTCCGTGAAGACTAATCAGATCAGAAAGCTAGTTACACATTTGGGCCGGGCAAATTTCCTTTCCAGGCTGTTTGATCTTGAGCTCCGGCCCGATTTTGAGTCTGATGAGATCATTGAGAAAGTCAGGGTCTTGCCTAGACAGGTATGGCCGGTTAGGGCTATTTCTCTTTGGTGCTCATGGATTTAGTTGTCCTTTAACATTTCTGGTAAATGTTTAAGTTGATTTTATTGTCTGTTACTCTGTTAAGTAGAAGTGTAAGTATAGGATGTTAGTTGTCAACTTTTGTGAACCAGTTCAGGGCAAGGTCACAATGATATGCAGCATATGCTGAACGTTCAGGAAATTGAAACTTGAAGCTGTGTTAATAATTAATCAGCAATGTATATGGAGCACAATTCAAATGAGCCAATTACTATAGAGTTATACTCCGTATTTCTAAAGCTTCTCACTTTAATCACTTGACTTGTCTTTTACCCCATACTCTGTTACATTGTCTTAGGACTGAGTTGCTGACTCACTAATGCATCATGATGTACCAATTATTTTATAGTGTAGAAATTGTTGAGGTAAATGATTGTGGTATTGTACTTTGTATTTATTCCCTCCCCATCTTATTGGAGTTTATCTACAACAACAATAACAACATCCAAGCATTAGTCCCAAAAGATTTTGGGGTCGGCTGACATGAATTGATACATAATAGAAAGACGAAAAGTGTATTAATTTAAATCTATAGAAGTTGCAAAATCATCTTTTCTTGTCAATGTTGAGACTTAAAAAGGGCCTCAATTTAAGTGTGGTTCTGGCTAAGTATCATTCAATTTAGACCAGCTTGTGCAATGTAGAGTGTGCTTCAATAGTGTATAAGAAATATATATATATATATATATATATATATATATATATATATATATGCATGCCGGAGATTCATCATTTGCAATGGAGCCAAAGATTCATTATTTTTTGGCTTGAGATTATGATGGAATAAAGCAAAATGGCTCACTAAACTGTCTGCGCTTCTTTGTTATGGAGCAGCAGTCAGTCCATGCAATCTTGGATGCGATTTTCACTATGGGTCATCCGGAAACAGTCTCTCTATGCTTTAGTACAGGGGTAAGACTGCGTACATCCGACCCCCTCTTACCCCACCGTAGGTGGGAGCCTTTGCGGCACTGGGGTAAATGAAAATGAAAAATGATATGCATGCCGGACTATATTTTGTGTTACTTTGGGATCAAGGCTTGGTTATTTCTAGAGTATGAAATGGGAATGGTTTTATTCACCAAAGTGTCTGATATGCATTACCGGACACTTTTTCCTTTGGAAAGAATAATACGTTTTTAATTCAACAGGATAGCTAGGCAATACTTGAGTTTTGAATGTCTTAGATTGACTTCCAGTTAAACCACTTTGATTTTTGCATAGAAGTATGTTGTATGCCAAATAACATCATATAATGGGCAGTCTTGAATTTGCTTTTTTATGAAGATGAACTGATTTTATGGTTTAATTTGATGTGTCAGATTCATCTACATGCAGGCACTGATGCTCCACTCAATGTTACCTTCATAAGAGCTCCATCAAGTGCTCTACTAAAGGTTGACATTCCTATCAGCTTTCGTGGTGAGGATGTCTCCCCTGGTTTGAAAAAAGGTTGGTGGGATTCACTATTTTGAATAGTTTTGGGCCATTTCCCTAAGGAAATGTTTTGACTATCTTTCTGCAAATGATGAAACATTTTGGGATCACGTATCCTCGTGAGGGGCACCTTTCTCAAGGTCCAATTGCAAAGAATAATCCCAAATAACCTCTATTAGTAGAAATTTTCATGAATGAGACTATTTAGAATTACTATTTTTTGTTATTTTATAGAAGAATGAAGCTTTTAGTATCAATATGTGAATTTAAAACTATGGAGGGCACGATAAATTAATACTCTGTATTTTTTGTACTTTTTTGCACAGCTTTCCATTTATTTTGTACATTTACACGTTTTATTTGCTTAGTCTTAAAATACTAATGGCACATTAATTTGTTTCTTACCTATTAATATGAGTTATGTCCAATTGGTAGGTTCATTCTTGAATATTATCAAGAGAACAGTGAAGTTCATCTGTCCGGCAGATATAATTCCTCCTCACATTGACGTTGATCTAAGTGAGCTGGATACTGGGGAGAAGATAGTAATGGGGGATCTCAACGTTCATCCTGCTCTGAAGCTTGTTCAACCTAAAGATCACCCTGTTTGCAAGATTATGGGAGGGCGGGTTTCTGACCAAAAGAAGACGAAATAATTTCTCAATTTTGTTCATCTTTTGTTAAAATTCTGGATGATGTAATTTTTCTACCCTGGTCTCATTTATTTGTGCCTTGATGTTTAGTCAGTTACTCAATTGTTTGCTTTGAGGGAAATGGCTTTCAAAAATGTGCAGACTTATCAATATACATCAAGAAATATCTGCTTTACGCAGTCACAATTCAATGTAGATTGACTTCTAATGTGCTGGTCCCGGTGCCTCCCACAGACAATGTTGCACTTAGGGATGGACCTGGTCCGGTTCTTGGCTGGGCCCGGGCGGGTTTTTTTTCGAGGTACTTGGGCCTGGAACCAGCCCGGGTTGATACCGGGTCCGGGCCTAACCGGGTCGGGCCCGGTTCAATGTTTAATTTTTTTAGGGGGCTTTCTTGTTATCCCCCGACCCCCCCCCCCACCCCCAAATCTCCCCAAAACACCCAACCCTACCCTAGGAAAAGAAAAAAAAATTGAAAAAACAAAAAAAAGCTCGGGCTTGGCCTGAACCGCCCGGGCTGGTTCAACAAAAATGGGGCCCGAGCTTGACCCGCTTGGCCCGCCAAAACGAGCTAAAAGCCCGGAACCGGCCAACCGGGCTTGCACAGTAGCGGGCCGGTCCAGGTTCTGGGCCGGTTTGGCCCGGTCCAGGTTCTGGGCCGGTTTGGCCCGGCCTAGTCCATCCCTAGTTGCACTCAGCTGCTTGTAACACAATACATAAAACTTTAGGGTATGTTTGTGAGTTTGGGCTGAAGGAGACGGGGAGATGTTGAAGGTTAGCCGGAGGCCCGGAGCCCGGAGGGGAAGGGGGTGGAAGTGAAGGAAATCTTATTTTTTGAAAGAAAAACAGCTTGTATTAATATCATTAGAATTCAGATCGTTAATCAAATTTCAAGAGACCAACACTGATAACAACTATCCGTAAACTATCATTATCAACCATATGGCTAGACTTAGAAACGATCGCCCCTGAAAGAGCAATATGAATCGCTAATTATCAAATGAGTGTGACACAACAATTACTGGTCATATAGATCCTTCTAACGATATAATACCTAACAGAATTGTCAATTATTTATTTTTGTTTGAGAGATACAAATTTGAAGGTAGCTATGAAGGAAATATAATTGAAATAGTTTCAGAGTTATAACAAATTCAAATAATTGAACAAGTATTGATTTTAAATTCGATTAAAGTAATTATTTAGTTAGTTATTTTTCATAACCCTCAATTTTGGGAACTTAAAATTTGAGCATTTGAAGGATTCTCCAGTATGGATGGATTCGGTTCGGGCCACCCGGCCCGGCCCGGTACTGTGCGGGCCCGGGACCGGCCCGGGCGGGCGGTCCGGGACCGGGTATGGACCCGAACCGATGGGAAGGGCGGGGGCGGGCTCGGTTCTGGATTTTTGTGACCCGGCCCGGCCGGGTCGGGCCCGGGCCCGGGTCCGGGTCTATTTTAAAAAAAAAACTTTTTATTGTTTTTTGGCTACTAGCCGTTGAGGCCTTGGGGGTGGGGGTGGGGACAACCCAAACGGCTATATAGCCGTTGGGTGGGGTAAAGGGAGGGTCCGGGGGGGTTGGCTGGTAGGGGGGTGGGGGGGTAAAAAAAACCTATAAATACTCCTACTCTTAAACATTTTTTCATATCTCTTCTCCAATTCTTCCTAAATCCTATTCTTAACTCTCTACTCTCTAATTCTCTTATTCTCCAATATATTATATATCTACTCTCTAATTCTCTTCTCCAAGAAGTTAAGATGGAAAATCAAAATGCCATTATACGGTATAATTTTGATAAGCAGAAGGACTCGAAGACCGGGATGTGGTACGCAATTTGCAAATGGTGTGAAAAAAAATGTATCATGGGGGCTTCAGGCGGATTCGGGATGGCAATCAAGCATATGAAGTCATGTGACAAAGCCAAAGAATCGGGAGGTGCGGGAAGTTACGATTGATTACAATTTTCAAAATGTTTCTCTTAAAGTTTGTTTTAATTTTCAAATGTAGTTCCTATTTCATTTCAAATAAATGCAATTGAAGTTTGTTTTTAATACTCGTATAAAACTATAAACTATAAATATAAATTATAAAAAAAAAATAACCGGCTCGGCCCGAACCGGACCCGACCCGTGACCCGGGCGGGTGGCCTGGCCCGAACCGGACCCGTCCAACCCGCGGGCCGGTCCCGGGCCCACTTTTCTTGAACCGGCGGCCCGACCGGGTCTAGGCCCGGCCCGGGCCCGACCCGGCCCGAATCCATCACTATTCTCCAGGATTATAAATTCAGGACCTGAATTCCTGAAAGATAGATAAATTATAAATTCGAGAGCCGAAAGATAAGATGTATCGATATAGTTAGAGGAACTAGAACTGTAGTCAGGTTATTTAGGTACTTGGTTTCAGTCCAATCCCAATTAATCCAGCTAGAAACCGATTCGTTTCCACTATTGATAAATTCAGTCCCAAATAAGGATCTAATCTCCCAAACATGATAGAATTCAAAGAATCAAACACATATTAGAACACAAGGCTGAACTAAAATTTTATCTGTGGACAAATTTTCACATGTTGGCCAACACAATGTTAAGGGTACTGAATTCCCGTGTCTTTTCAGTACTTTGTTCCAATTGTAATGTGATTGTTTGTTTTTTTTATGGCCACTGTTAGTGATTGACGGTGTTATTGTTCATCGTGAAGCAAGAAAAATTTTCTAGGGAAACTTGGAAAATAGAAAAATGGAATAACTTCCTCCAACTTTTTCCCATGAATTTGGCGCTCGGTGGTTTCTGACGGCATCCAAGGAAAGTAATTTTGACAAAATAATTATTTAGACACTCCAGAGTCCAGACTAGTAAACTATCAAATATAGAACGCCCCACATAAGGGCCCCTGCAAGTACAGGAGACAGAGCCCCACTCTCTATCTGTCAGATTAGGATTATAATCCAATTTACATCCTTCCAATGTACCATCCAGTCGGGATTGGGGGTCCTCAGGGATGGGGTGTCATCCTTTCAAATATCGAATGCCCCCAGCCATAGTCCCCTACCCTGCCCTACGCGGCTGCCCCAACCCCTCTCCAGCTCGCCTCCCGAGCCCTGCCCCCTCTCCAGCCCGCCTCCCGAGACTACCAGCCCCAGCCCCGAAACAACAACCCTAGCCATGGTCGTTTCTCACCAGCAACTCGATCAAAAACAACGGATGTGGTGGCGACACCATGGAGCCCAAATGTCGTTGCCCTCAGATCAAACACAAACTGAATAAGAAGAATAAAAGTGGGCAGCAACCTCGAGAGGACAAGGACGACGACGAATTTCAGGGAGAGGACGACGACGACCTACGCCAACTCTGTTACCGGCTCGAGGTCAAGGGGGACAATAATGGGAGAAACGGTAGTGACGGAGAAGGTCGGGGCAACATAGGCGGCGGCGATTTGCGTCTTCTCCGGAAATTGTGAAGGAGGGAGATGGGAAGCTGCGGCGGCGTCTTCGCAGAAGAAGGCTTGGTCTGGTACTCTGGGAATGACGGAAGGTTCGGAAGTCGTAGATTAGGCTAAGGGTTTGAAAGTCCATTGATAGATCATTTCAGTCACTTTTCCGTAAAATCAATTTATGGTCATATTTTTGTCTTCAATAACCCAAGAAATAATATGTATGACATTGTTTCTAATTTCTAACTCAACAATTTATATCAAATAAGTCACACAAATAATGCATGCATATGTTCGAATATAAAAAATAAACATATAATGTATTTCATGATATTATTATTATTATTAATATACATATGTTTATTGGAATTATTTGATATCAACTTTTAGACCAAACACTTAACTTTTAATTTCGTACACTGAATTGTGTAATAATTAAAATAAGTTAGTTTGAAGTTACTATTCTATTTGAATTGGCTGAAATTACCGTAGAAAACTATTTTAGCTATTTTTCATATAACTTTTTCTTATTTTATTAATAAATTATATTCTAAATATATTTATTTCATAATTTATCAGAATCGGTGAATCCAGCCATCTCAATTAGAATTTCAAAATTTTCAATAAAACTAGTATTTTTATCATAAAAGAGCTGTCGTTATATTAAAACCAAGAAACACATACAAGACAACCTTTAGACAGAATTTACATATCCAATCGTGAACCCTAGGAGTAGACTTAGAGTCAGTCACCTCATACAAAGCAACATGACTCGCTAAACCTGAAACGAACAAATTTAGGCCTAAAATGAGCGAAACCAAATCCCTGTCTATCAAAAGAACTCCAAAAATCCAAGCATTCAAACCAAATCCACTCGGATTAAAACAGAAACAATTGCTACTAAAGAGAAAATAATAATGAAATAAAAAAATTTCCACAAAGCTCTTCCTGGTATGGAGGTGGTTCCGAAGGAAGACGAGCTCTTGCAATATGGATGAATACCAACTCCAGTACTCCACCACCCTCAGAATGGTCAACCAAGACTTCACGATCCAGCCTCAATACAACCTCCCAATCGCACCTTGTTAATCCGCCAACGCTCTCTCCTCCGACGTAGTTGCAATCCCAAACTTTAGAACACTTAAAATTAGTATAATATGTCGCTTCAACCCCATTTTGATAGGACGGCAGAAAATCTCAACTCCTACAAAGAGAGGAGACGGCCACTAGGGTTTCTCTCTCTAGAGAGAAGAGAGGGTTCGGACTTATACATCTCTTATAACAAAACCAATTAATTCAACCAATTTCAATGTTACTAAATGTGTCTTAAAAAATACTTCAAGGAAAACAAAGTTACTAGTTCAACAGGGCATATATGTTTATGATAATATTCAAATGTAGGTAAAAGTGAAAAATACTTGAATAGGAGTGTATTAATCGTAATATCGTATAATGTTTAGATCTAAAACAAGAGTTACAAGGCTCTCTTGTCTTCAGTATTGGAAGTGCTGGTTGCGCATCCAAGAAATCTGTTGGACGTTAAAAAATTACTATCGCCCTTTGAGATTAGGAGATACTCACATAGTTATTATTCCAATATTATATTTTTTGAAATTCAACAATTACACTTTGAACTTTGATGGCATTCACAACTATAGTGTGCACGATGCACATGTGTCATGAAAGATAACCACATAAATATTAGCAAATAAATTATCTCTCTCCTTATTTGAATGATTTTATACAATTTTGATAAGTTTTCCCCTGCAATATCAACTACAATG